TGTATGAGAATCACATGGGGCATATGTTGAAATACAGACACGGTTCTACTCCATAAGAACTGAATCACATCTCAGAGAATCACTCATTTTAGCAAATTGACTACTAGAATTTGAGAACAACCACCTTACACGTTCAAAGATTATTCCTTCCTTTTAAGGGCCTTGTTTTTGTTCTTTGCTTTGAAGAACCAGGTTGGTTTTTTCTTTTTATTCTTCCTGCTTTTTTTCTTGTCCCCACCCCGCAAATAGAGTTCTAATTCAACAAGGACCCAGTTGAGAGCATTACCTTAGAAAACTAATACCAGGTGCATTATGCAAATTTTATTGAGTGATATCTTGGATATGTTTAATACTCCTTGCCCTTTAGGTGCTCAATAAGTGATTTTGGTGGATGATTATCAATACTTCATTAAATATGTGTTATTAAGATATATGTATGAGAAAAAATTAATAAAGGAAGAGAAGCACAACTTTTCATAATTGTTCAGTAGAGTCCTATTTCTCTTTTTAAATACTCCAAATATCAAGACCAATATGCTTTCCTAATCAGCAAATTTAGCAGCAGGATGAAAGAAGGATTTTAAATAGCATAAATAATATCCTTGGTAATTTTTACAATTGTATTAACAATAGTTATTAGAATATAGAGTAGCCAGTGCACATGCCCCGTATAACTTTCAAAGCAAGGATTCTTATGCTTGAGTGTGTATCAGAATCACCTGGTGAACTGGTTAAACCAGCGTGCCCAACTCCACTCCCAGAGTTTCTGATGCTGTTAGTCTGGATGGGGTCAGAGGATATGAGTTTCTAACAAGTGGTCTGTGGACCACATGGTTGAGAGATTTGCTGTACAGAGGAAGGAAACTTTTTAAACAGAGCAGCAAGTGATTCAGAAGGTACCTTGGAGAGCATCAGAATTTCATGGTTTGCAAAGTTTCTTCTTGTTGTGGTATTCTGACCATCCCCACCCCTTCAGTGAGCTCCCCAGAACTTTGATTTTTACAATAAGTAAAAGTAATAAATGACTGTCTTAGGCAAGCTAAATTTTCATTGTTTATGGAGTACTTTTTTCTCTGTAAGCCCCCGAACACACAACCTCCCTCCACCCATAGATACACACAGAAGAGTGTTAGTAGTCTTGGGGCTCTGGAGTAGTCTTAAAAAATCAAAGAGAAGAAAACTGAGTCCCAAAGAAGGGGAAACTTGCCCAAGTCATAAAGCCAGAAATTGCTAGGAAGATGTGAGTGAATATTTACGTTACATGCTTATCTTTTCTGCTATTGGTAGCCTAAGTTTATATCTTCTATCTTTACCTGTAATTTTATTTCAAGTCTCGCTTCTTCACGCTTTGGCTAAATATTTAGCAGTTTCATGACTATGCAGTTGCTCAATAAAATCTATAATTGAATTATGGAGTTTCTTTGTATGGAAGTGCCATTTTGAACAAAAATTATTGAAGAAGAAAACATCATTTAAAAATATCTGATTAGAATATCTTTGAAACCTTTTTTAAATTTCTTCTTCCTAGCCTTTTGCTCAGGCCACCGTAATTACCACATCCATTAGCCCTGTTTTTGTGAAAAAATGCTCTCCTTCTTCCTCTCACTTAGCTCCCCACATTGTTTTGGAAATGTTCTGGGTTATAGAAAAGCATTTCACAGAAGCTCACAGGTATGAAGAGTGTATAGGCAAAGTCCTGCATTGATATTAATAGGGCAGAGCCACCAAGCAAGCATTTCACACACTTGTTTTGGAAATGTTCTTCTGGGTTGTAGAAAAGCATTTCACAGCAACTAATGGAAGTAGGCAGTCCCTATTATGTTCATTTTATTTCTGTGAAAGCATAAAGGACCCCATGGAATATGGGATCTTTTCTCCTCCTATGAGCCTTACATGAGAACATGAACTTGACTTACAGAGTGAAAATGGCTTTTCTCCTCCTCACTCTGTAAGTCAAGTTCATGTTCTCATGTTGGAAAAAAAAAAAAAAAAAAAAAAAAAAAAAAAAAAAAAAAAAAAAAAAAAAAAACAAAAAAAAAAACGGAGAAGCAAGCAAGGAAGGGTTTTAGACATGGCACTACTAAAGAAACTAACTTCACCTTGCTCATTGAAGCTGCTGTGCAACCTAGCTTGTACCCAACTACTATTTTACTGCTTCTAGAGACCATATAGAAAATGGCATTAAGTATTTTCTTCAACAAGCTGAAATATTATAAATATAAATACATTTGGTCATATAATAGAAAAGTAAAAGGTGGTTTCATGAATTAACTATGTTCTTGCCATTTAACTGGAGAGTACCCTTTGGAAACATTTTGTTTAAATCATGATTACCTTTAAACCTACAAGGAATCTCTTCCCTAAACACTTGTATTGGCGAAGCTCAGGAATAAAGATTGGAAATACTTGGGTTTTAGTGACACATCTACCATTTATGTGCACAACCCCTCTGCATTCCGTCAGTAAAATTGGGCTAAGAAGCCTTGCCCTCTGACTTCATGGGGTTTTTGTGGGAACCAAATGTTATAATATAGATATGCATATTTTAAAATTCTAAAGCTCTATATAAGTTGGCAGCTCTTACCTTCTTGGTCTTTGCTGAAATAATTATTTCTTCTTACTTGCTACAACATTTGTTTTCTTTGTTTCCTTCCTTGCTACTCATATTCCGTAACAAAAGTTTCCAATCCAAAGTTTAAAACCCGGTTCTCTAGAGTCTGCTGTTAGAGGCAGTTTCAACAGCAGCAGAAGTGGTTAAACCAGTCACCAAAATCTACAGATGGATTATATAATAATAAGTTGCATGAAATCTTATAACTAAAACAAAGACCTTGGCCATAACTGGGTGCAACAAATTCTAAACAATTACTTTCATCTGATAAGTCCTCTGTTCAAACAAAATCCAATGTGGAAATCCAATATACTGAACAGATGGGAGCAGAGGGGCTCTAGCCGAAATGGGCATAGAGTTCTGCAGAACTTGCAGGTGCCCCATGAGTTCTCCATTACACTCAGAACACATTTGAATGCTGCTCTTGAAGCTCACAGGGATGAAGAGTGTGTCGGCAAAGTCCTGCATTGATATTAATAGGGCAGAGCCACCAAGCAAGATTCAAAATGTGCTGTGTTCAACAAGGCAGGAATATATGCAGTGTGATTTTGAAAGATTTTCACTGAAATGTCCAAATATTAGAAGTATTATCTTTTGAAGAGTGTAGTTTTCATTTTCCTAACAGAAGCACTCAAAATGCATGACTTTTGATTATGATGATAAAAATACCTATGGCGGGCCGGGCGCGGTGGCTCAAGCCTGTAATCCCAGCACTTTGGGAGGCCGAGGCGGGTGGATCACGAGGTCAAGAGATCAAGACCATCCTGGTCAACACGGTGAAACCCC